CCATTTCCAGGACTCAAGTCCGACTAATGAAAATAACCGGTTTCCCTGAATCCCTTCACTAAATATTACCCTGCTCACACTCCAACAGATCGTCAGGTCCCAAGTACCATTCGTCTCCATTCACTCCTATCTAACACGCTCACGCACGCTTGCTGGAAATCCAAGCCCCTTACCCACAAAACCTCCTTTACCCCCTCTCTCCAACCCTTTCGAGGACGACCCCTACCCCGCCTTCCTTCCCCTATAGATTTATATGCTTTCCATGTCATTCTACATATAATTATACGTTATAATAATAATGTAGGTATGTAGTCCGCCTGGGCTACATACCTACACCTACCTACATAACCACGATATTTCATGTGGCCCAGAGCCATATTATTACCATCAACATACCATGTTCACTGAGTTTAATCATTTCTAACAACTACCTTTAGATGCCATCATAAACAAAGACAGAAGTAATGCTGAGAATTGTAAACAAAAGCGTTATGTATTATGGGGAGTGACGTAATGTTTTCCCTCCGCCTGGCTACTGCACCTCCATAGTATATAAACATGAAATGTTTATATGTTATGTAACATGTTTCTTATATAATTTTGAAGAAAATATAATAGATGCATTAACCCGTTGACTGTTTCAGGCCCCTTTCTGAAACTGTCATTCTATGTCGCCAAATATTCGAAAAAAAAAATAAATTATTTTTTCTTATGAAATGATAGAGAATCTTTTCCTGATGGTAATGACACCAAAAGTTTGAAATTTGGTCGAAAACTCACGGAATTACGCTCCCGCGAAGTTAGCGGAATCGGCGACATATGTGTATCGGCGATTTTGCCGACTTTGAGCCCTGTTTTCAGCCAATTTCTTTGTTCCAGTTGACCAAACTCATAGCTATTTCTTTTGAACTCCATTTTATCTATCAGCTGAGTACAAGAAACTGCCCATTTACCAATTTGAACTACCCAGTATAGTGGTCAGAAATTGGCAATTTGGCCAATTTCACGCAAATTAAAAAAGATGCCAATTTCAAAATAGGGTCCAGAATAAACAAGGTAGACATTCTTGGCACTAAAATAGCATATCCTCTGTTCATTAGTCACATCTCTAGGCCCCTCTTATTTTATTATTGCTTTCTATTTTGATTTTTTATTCATACAAAAAAATACAAAATTTACTGTTATGCAGACTACTGCATTATTGTGAAAATGGTATAAATAATATCAGTGCACTAGTGAAAGAATATTAGACTCCCCAGTTGATGTGTATTGGACGTATGGTGTGATTTGTTTACTCCTGAACATTGGTAAAAATCGAACATTTCCGCCAATTTGAGCTCAGTTTCAAGGTCGTTTTCATCGTCAAAGTAATGAAAATCATCTCTTTTTTGTAATATGTTTTCCATTTTATCACCTAAGACCATGAAAACGCGAATACAACGATAAATACTATACGAAAATACACCTCAAAGTCAGCGTTTTATTCCAAAAAAACGATCAGTTTTTTTTTTCTCATTACGCAATGTGTGCTGCAGGATTTTTTTTTATGTGGTGCACACTGACCACACAGACCCATTCTCTCACATGTGGGCCTACCAGCTTTCTCCCGCATGATTTGAACCTGCTAGAATTATTGAGTATATATACGTCAGAAACATTGGCTCGTAAGACGTATTTATACGTCGAAAACAGTCAAAGGGTTAATGAAAATGTCTATATTAACCCTTTCAGGGTCCAGAGGCCAGATTTCAAAGTGTGCACCAGGGTCCAAGAATTTTCAAAAAAATAATTTTATTATTTTTTCTTATGAAATGGTAGAGAATCTTTTTCTGAAGGTAATAAAACAAAAAGTACAAAATTTAATGGAAAATTGATGAAATTATGATCTCGCTAATTTTGATGTGTCGGCAATATTTACGCATCGGCGATTTTGCCGACTTTGACTCCCATTTTATGGCAATTACAGTATTCCAGTCAACCAAATTCTTAGCTATTTCACTAGTATTACTTCTATTCTATCGATTGAGCACAAGAAATCGCCAAGTCAACTGTTTCAACAACAAAATAAAGTGACCAGAAATTGGTAATTTGGCCAATTTAATGCAAAGTTCAAAATATTTCAGTTTCAATATAGGGTCCAAAATAAACAATGCAGGCATTCCTGGCACTAAAGTAACATTTCCTCTGTTCATTAGTTACATTTTCAGGCTTTACAAATGAATTCCATTTTGATTTTTTATTCACATAATGAATTTTTATTCAAACCAAAAAATAGAAGATTTACTGTTATACAATACTGTAATAATTGTATAAATAATATCACCACATTTGTGAATGTATATTAGACCCACCAGCTGTCATATATTAGACTTGTCAGGTCATTTGTTTACTCTTGAACATTGGCAAAAATTTAACATTTCTTCTACTTTGAGCTCAGTTTCAAGCAATTTCCAGTATTAAAACCAATCAAAATCATCTTTATTTATGTAGTATATCTTCCATTCTATCAAATGATATCAAGAAATTGCAAATACAACTATAAAAAACATTCGAAAAAACACTGCAAAGTCACTGTTTTAATCGAAAATTACGGTCTCGGTTTTTTTCTCTCATGCATTGTGTGCTGCAGGATTTGTTTTATGTGGTGCACACATACCACATAGATGTATTCTTTCATATCTAGGTCCAAATTACTGCTCCACAGCTTATCAGAGTGAGCTGAGCTCATGGCGTAGATCTACGGTTTGGACCCTGAACGTAAAGCCGTAGATCTACAGCATGGACTCTGAAAGGGTTAACATAAAATAAGACATTTAATGTGCCCAAGAGTGATTATTATTAATATTACATAATGTTTTCCCTCCACCTGGCAACCACACCTCCATATATAAACAGCATGTTTATATGCTATGTAATCTGTTTCTTATATAATTTTGAAGAAAATATCATAGATGGATTAAGGAAAATGTCTATATTGACGTAAAATTACACATTTAATGTGCCCAAGAGTGATTTTATTACTGTAATAGAGAGATGTGCTCATGGAGAATGTAAACAAACTGGGTGGCCTGCACCGTATTTGAAAGACCGCTTGCTGTATAGAAAGTTTTGGTCATAATTTGAGATCGCCGTATTAGCAGAATGCCGAAAAGTGGGGCCCTACTGTACCTTCCATCCCCTTCCCCACAAATGCTTCCCCATTACAATAATAATAATAATAATAATAATAATAATAATATAATATGTTGTGTATCTTTATATGTATATGCTTCTAAACTGTTGTGTTCTGAGCACCTCTGCAAAAACAGTGATTATGTGTGAGTGAGGTGAAAATGTTGAATGATGATGAAAGTATTTTCTTTTTGGGGATTTTCTTTGTTTTTGGGCCACCCTGCCTCGGTGGGAGACGGCCGACTTGTTAAAAAAAAAAATGTAATAATAATAATAATGATAATACATATAATAATAATGTATAATGTACTATAATAATAATTATAACAGTAGACAGCTTGCCGGGTCACCATCTGGAGAAGACCCAGGCCGGAAGCACTGGCGAATCAACATGAATGAATGAATAGACGGCTTTGAAAGGCCGTCACTAGATGGCAGTGAATACCACAACAATGCAGGAGCAGTTATGGCCGCCTCCACTTGTCACGCAATGACATATTTTATTAATTCTAGAGTATATATCAGGTTTCTATGTTATTTATATTGTTTATTATGTCATATTAGATCAATTGTGATAGTTTAAATAAGCCGTTAGAGTTGACATTAGCAATATATTGAAGTGTATTTTTCCTGCCTCTGAGAGCAGGAATTCCACTGGAATGGATTAATGGCTTTTCAGTTAATTTAAATGAGGAAAATTGACTCAACATACAAACAAATCAGGATACAAACAAGGTCACGGAACAGGTTAAGTTTGTAAGCTGAGGTTCCACTGTACTGTAGTGTGACTGACTTTGAGGACTATTTGCACACTACTTTTTATGAATTATTTAAACCAAACTTAGCAAACATTATAAGTAGTAGATAAGAGCACTGCTCAGTAGCAAGCCTTGTTCTTCATGTTTTGTTGCTACAAAACTTTATTCTTTATTAAATATCTGAAAATAATGATAGACTTGTTCTTGAAGTGTCTTTCTATATTCTCATAGTTTTCACCCATTAAGAGATATGCCTTGATACTGGTGAGGGGCTCTTGATTCTTGGAACTGGATTTACCCTCCCTCTCTCTTGTATCAAATATTAATTCCTCCCATTCCCCAAGTGCTGTATGACTCCTATGGGTTTAGCTCTTCCCCTGATTATAATAAAAGAAAATCATAGTTGTCAATTGTTCCAGCTCTTCAGCTCAGTGCAGTTAACATTAGCTGTGAAATTTACTATCAGTAATTTTGCACACCTAGAACACAGACAGGTAATTGATTGAAAATTATTTTTCCATATGTTCATCTCATAGCATTATTTTTTTTTTTTTTAATATTCCAGCCATCTCCCACTGAGGCAGCATTATTATATTAAACTTACTTAATGTAAATTAATGAGTTTCTTGTTGACAGTATTAGCAATTTTTTTTTTGTTTTCCTACAAAACACTGAATAGAATTTGATTATTAAGGATATCAGGTTATCAGCATTTCTGGAAAAAAAAAAAATTTTTTGTGTAAGCATTAAATGAAGGACCTAATTAAAACATGCTTTTAAGTGCCTTCTTTTTAAAGGCTGCTCAGATTCAAAAGAAATCCTCTTTTTTTTTTTTTTTTTTCTTTAAGAAAAAAATTGGTCATTTAACCCTGAATCAGCACTTTACAAAGAAACCAATGTTTTTTGACATTTAACCTTGTTAACTTCTCTGTATCTCATTGCACCCTTCAAGGGGGGGGGGGGTTAACCATGATGCTGCTCTTGATCCAAGGAATTAGAAATACCATCGCCTTTCACAAAACCTGATTACCTCCTATTTCTCAGGCGATGTATGACTGACCATTAAAGTTTTAGTGCTTTCTTATTGGTATAATATTACGATAATAAGGAATACAACATGGTACAGTTTGGAAAACTTCCGTGAGTACAGATTCCTTAGCTTCAAGTTGAAGACAATGCTGACCATTGATCGCTTATCAAAATAGGAATCCAGATGATATTCTTTCTTATTATCATTGGCTATTATTTGCAATTCATAAAATAATTAATGTTGAAACAAATTGTATGCATGGGTACAGGACTGAAATAACAGGTTAGGAGGGCTGTTTATTTTGGTTTCTAACCACTGACAAGGGTCTCAGAGGCTGAAATATACAGCCTTCCTAGTCTGTTGTTTCACTTCTGTCTCAATGTGGGCCTTGAATTAATCAGTGCTGTGTGTATAAAATGGTAGGTAGAATTATTTCAATACAGAGATAGCAGGGATATTGATTTAATTATTTGCCCTTTTTAATACAGAAACGTCTGTATCAACGCAGCATCAGAAGTCGCATCAATAGAGATGACCTGAACATGCTCTTAGCATTTACAGTTGGAAGGTTAAAGGAAAGAGTGAGTATATATCACTAAAGAAAGAATTCTTTATGCTTACTTTACTCAGTTATATTGTACTGTGTATATTACCACATACATACATACATGGTAATCACTACAAATATAGATTCAGCTCTGAAACTCTTGAGAGCTCCAGCAGAATTCATAGGCATGATACAAGGAACATACACCTCATTGATGTCCCCCATGTTCAACTCACCCTGAGTAAAAACTCAATGCTCATAAAAGGCCACAAAATCTGGAACTGTCTACCTGAAATTTACGAAGACTGTTTCTGCCAACCAATTCAAAGCTATTGTAAAAAGAGCACCTCCTTACCCTAATGTGATTTACATTAGCAATATATATGTTTAACACATCTTTGAAACCTGTTAATTGATTATTTGTTCAGTATTCATTCTAATGTAACTTTTATCTTCGCTCTCCATATACCCCCATAAATTGTGTCACATGTTACTATTCCTTCATTCTGACATAACTGTTGGAACAGTCAAGAGTATTTTACATAGAATGATTATTGCACATAATTATCTGTTGTAACAGTAAGCAATTAGTAAAAGAGTTCTTACATAAATTGTTTGTCTCTATACCTGTTGTAACAATCAAGAGTTATTACATAGAATAATCCTTGTACCTAGTTATTCTAACTCCTTATAACTTCATTAAATTTTCATAAGCATTTATGTAATATATCTACTCTATGACTAATTTAATGTATGTTTAATCTACTCTATACCTCTTCGACCACCTCCTCATTACCTGTACTCTCTAGCTCACCTTTCTCCCAGTACATAGCTTTTATCTTACCCTAACTTCTTTATTTTTTAACTTTCACTTCACTCTTTCCTACTGATGATGTTCTCCTTGTACCCATTTCTCTATTACTTATACTGTAGCTACCACTAAATAATGATCTGATATAAAAAATATGCTTATACAGAAACCTACCCATCAGCCTTTTTTCTATTAATACATAGTCCAACAAACTGCTGTCATTATAAATTTTCACTGCCCGGAGGATTTGAACCCTTGGCAAGCCAGTCCCAAAGCTAGCAAGCTAGTGCATATCCACTGGACAATGTCAGCCTAATAAGATTCATCCATGTGGTGAGTTTACAATAGTGTTATTATGATTTATTGAGTCATTCTGGATAAAAAAGTACATATTTCATGTACTTATTTATCTGCATTTTCTTCAAATACATATTACCTATTACCAAACCTCTTTCTACACATAGTTTAGTTAGAGGCCCCCATTAACATTTATCCCTGGCATTCCACAGTTACCTACCATGCCATCTACAATGGTTTTTTCCCATTTTAACATTTAAGCCCCCTACAAGAATAGAATGAAAGGGGGTAAAGCATCTGGAACTGATGGGATCATGACAGAAATGTTAAAAGCAGGGGGGGATATAGTGTTGGAGTGGTTGGTACTTTTGTTTAATAAATGTATGAAAGAGGGGAAGGTACCTAGGGATTGGTGGAGAGCATGTATAGTCCCTTTATATAAAGAGAAAGGGGACAAAAGAGACTGTAAAAATTATAGAGGAATAAGTTTACTGAGTATACCAGGAAAAGTGTATGGTAGGGTTATAATTGAAAGAATTAGAGGTAAGACAGAATGTAGGATTGCGGATGAGCAAGGAGGTTTCAGAGTAGGTAGGGGATGTGTAGATCAAGTGTTTACATTGAAGCATATATGTGAATAGTATTTAGATAAAGGTAGGGAAGTTTTTATTGCATTTATGGATTTAGAAAAGGCATATGATAGAGTGGATAGAGGAGCAAGGTGGCAGATGTTGCAAGTATATGGAATAGGTGGTAAGTTATTAAATGCTGTAAAGAGTTTTTATGAGGATAGTGAGGCTCAGGTTAGGGTGTGTAGAAGAGAGGGAGACTACTTCCCTGTAAAAGTAGGTCTTAGACAGGGATGTGTAATGTCACCATGGTTGTTTAATATATTTATAGATGGGGTTGTAAAGGAAGTAAATGCTAGGGTGTTTGGGAGAGGGGTGGGATTAAATTTTGGGGAATCAAATTCAAAATGGGAATTGACACAGTTACTTTTTGCTGATGATACTGTGCTTATGGGAGATTCTAAAGAAAAATTGCAAAGGTTAGTGGATGAGTTTGGGAATATGTGTAAAGGTAGAAAGTTGAAAGTGAACATAGAAAAGAGTAAGGTGATGAGGGTATCAAATGATTTAGATAAAGAAAAATTGGATATCAAATTGGGGAGGAGGAGTATGGAAGAAGTGAATGTTTTCAGATACTTGGGAGTTGATGTGTCGGCGGATGGATTTATGAAGGATGAGGTTAATCATAGAATTGATGAGGGAAAAACGGTGAGTGGTGCGTTGAGGTATATGTGGAGTCAAAAAAACGTTATCTATGGAGGCAAAGAAGGGAATGTATGAAAGTATAGTAGTACCAACACTCTTATATGGGTGTGAAGCTTGGGTGGTAAATGCAGCAGCGAGGAGATGGTTGGAGGCAGTGGAGATGTCCTGTTTAAGGGCAATGTGTGGTGTAAATATTATGCAGAAAATTCGGAGTGTGGAAATTAGGAAAAGGTGTGGAGTTAATAAAAGTATTAGTCAGAGGGCAGAAGAGGGGTTGTTGAGGTGGTTTAGTCATTTAGAGAGAATGGATCAAAGTAGAATGACATGGAAAGCATATAAATCTATAGGGGAAGGAAGGCGGGGTAGAGGTCGTCCTCGAAACGGTTGGAGAGAGGGGGTAAAGGAGGTTTTGTGGGCAAGGGACTTGGACTTCCAGCAAGCGTGCGTGAGTGTGTTAGATAGGAGTGAATGGAGACGAATGGTACTTGGGACCTGACGATCTGTTGGAGTGTGAGGAGGGTAATATTTAGTGAAGGGATTCAGGGAAACCGGTTATTTTCATATAGTCGGACTTGAGTCTTGGAAATGGGAAGTACAGTGCCTGCACTTTAAAGGAGTGGTTTGGGATATTGGCAGTTTGGAGGGATATGTTGTGTATCTTTATATGTGTATGCTTCTAAACTGTTGTATTCTGAGCACCTCTGCAAAAACAGTGATAATGTGTGAGTGTGGTGAAAGTGTTGAATGATGATGAAAGCATTTTCTTTTTGGGGATTTTCTTATTTTTTTTGGGTCACCCTGCCTCGGTGGGAGACGGCCGACTTGTTGAAAAAAAAAAAAAAAAAAAACAAGAAATATCTTCTCACTTGGGTCATCCTTCCAAAACATTTGATTAGCACCTCCCAGAATCTCTTTCTTCTACACACCTCTCATTCCCAGATGCATAAACACTACTGTAAGCTGCTTCTCACATTGAATCCTTATTCTAGTCCATGTAATTCTTAAGTTTATAAACCTATACCCCATCTTCTATAGTTGATCATTTAATATTACTTCTACCCCTTCTTTAGCTCTTGTTCTCTCAGATACAACTGATTTAGCCCCTTTTACTCCTTCCCACTGAACTTCTCCTACCTCTGTAACTTTGTTTTGCTTTGAGCTAGGATACCCAGCTTTTTTTTCATTCATACCATTAAGCAATCAGTTCTTTCTTCTCATCCATAATGCAACCATGCACATTCAGGCATCCTCCCTCAAAATTTACTTCTTTTTCATTTTAGTTATTCTAAATATTTCTTCTACTATGGCTGGAGCCTTCTAACAGCTGGCAGGTGGTTAAACTACCAGTCTAGACCACACACATTCACATCAGTGCCTTCACTTGTCTTCTTTATTGTAGCACTTCATTTGTCCTGTCCCCTAGTGGGCCTGCATCCCTATTTAGGATATGTGATGGGTTATCCTGCTCTTCAAGGATTTCTGATGGTGATAGGAATTTGCTTTTGCTCACCAGCTTTATGACAGTCATCCATCTTATCTGAGTTCTTCCCTTCAGGCCACCAAGCTTCCTTCATTGAGTAAGATTCTTTCAAGTGAGCCATCCAGGGATGACCTTCCTTGGGCTGTAGGTGGAAAATGGTTTGTTCCTCTGGTAGAGTTTTTGGTTCCTAATAAGAGAGCACAGGGTCCTTTTGCTTCCCATTCCTGGTGATACCTACTTTTATTTTGATGTCCACCAGGGGCCTGACAGGCTTAGCAGGGTTGGTGAACCCACTTTTCCCTGAGCCTGAGCCCTGTGCCCTCAACAAAGACATCACATGTTAACCAAGTTATTGGCTGCTCAGCCAGTAAACAGTTGGCTGGCAACCAGTTAGGCTTTACTTGATTCTTACATCCTTTCCCTCCATGCACATATGGATCATTCAGTGGATCACATCAACTCTCAAGATTCTGGCAGAAATCAGGGCCTCTTCAACTTGAGTCAATTTTTGTGTGAGATATGTGAATTATTCCTAAGACTCACAACTGTTCATGAGAGCACCAGCCTTTTCAGGCCTCAGCCACTGTCTTCATCAGTATTTTTTGCAGGTCACTGATTGCTTCCATCCTTTGAGCTCTGTGGGCTAGTGCCTTAGAGTTTGGAGACTGCTATGAGGCTTTCACTATATGTACATGAACCATCTCACAGCATATTATTTGAGGAAATTGAGATGGGATATTGGCTTGATCCCATTTCTTTTATTGTTATACATGAGAGTTCAAAATGGTCACTGTGTCGTTGTGAAGGTTGATAATCAAAACTTGGAGAAATTTTAAAACAATATAAGTAGTATAATGATTTATATGTGGTAAATTGTTAATAAATTTATAATTGCATGTTGAAGATGGGATGTTTAGGATTCAGGCCTTACTGATTACTCTGAAAGCCAGCAAATAGGCCAGTTTCGTAAGGAAAATGATAAATTTTCCAGCTTTTATTATGTATTACAAGCAGTACACCATAGTGCATGAAAAGACAAGGTATGCTGGGATAAAATTGGTCTAAGTTTTGGTTTTAAACAGTTAATATGTTTGGGACTATCCTTAAATGTGCCAGTTACTAAAAAATTCAGATTTTTCTGGTAGAAGAATATACAAGATACTCTATATCAG